GAATATTGGATGATCTATGCCATGCATGCCTTTTAAGGGGAGGGAAGAAAAAATGCAGGAAGCTGACAAAGGTTGTATTGCGGGGAGAAAATAGGCGCTAATCACAGGGGGATGTAAATAATAATAATATATTATAATCTAAGAGTTCAGATAATGAGAAATGGATATTATTAATAAAGAAATACTCGCTATTCGCTCTAGTGTGTTCCTATTTGTTTTTCCAACGCAGCGGAAAAAAGGAACTGAGGGGATGATTGGAGGGCAGAGCTTGCGCTCCAAGGGGGGGAGGTCTCATTCTCAATTTTTTTTTTTAGGCTCTCGAAAGTTCTGAAACATCCTGCGCAGGTGCAGATCAACCCACTTGTGTGCATTCACAGAGGCCACAAAGAAGAACCAGAGAGTATTTCTCTGTTTTCTTTTTCTCTTCACAATGACTACGCACGTGATAGTAATGCAGACTGCAACTCACTTGTTCCATGACCGGAGCAATAACAAAAGCAATCTGTCTGCCAAGAAATAATAAGAACCATAACAAGTTTATTTTGAAATGTAACATTCCAAGCTCTGCTTCTGACAGATAGCCTCTAGTACGTTGTTTAGCATCAAGTGGGACATACATACACATGAAGGCTCACATACCCTAACAAAATATGAAGGTAAAAACACACACACATTTAGGTCAGTACTGTATATTATGGGGACAGTTTTACTAGCCAACTGACGCTCATCGTTACACCTAGCTGAGTCATGTTCAGCACAAGAATTAAAGGCAGCCCTTTGATATAAAATGGCTTCTTAGCTGGAATCTAAGAACAGCTAAATTTTGGAAGGCTTAGTCTGTGAGAACCTAGAAGCTCTATGCAGCTTAAAACCTGGGTAGCTAAAGAACCCTCTAATGCTGCTTGAATACTGTGCTCATTATGATTTCTATGCCCCTTCTCTATTCTCTGCTCTCTTTGAAGGGAAAGGGATGGGAAGTGGGAAGGGAACATTTCAGTGATGCGATGACATGCCCTGCAAGATTATGCGGTTGCAGTAAAGGCAATGAAGAGTCTTGTGCTACCTTCAATAGTAACCCATTTATTATGGCATAGGCTTCTGAGGCAGGCTATAGCCAGTGGAAGTTTATGTCATAATAAATGTATAGATTTTAAATTGCCACAAGACTGTCCATTGTTTCCCTCAGAAAGGTTTGCATGGAGCCCAACCTTTTTGTGTTTTTCTAGTGCAATGTAAGTAGTGCAAACTTTTCATTTGTCTAAATTGGGGTGAGCAATTTCTCACCCTCCCATCATCCATCACCACTAACTGAGATCTAGTTTTAAGTCACAACTAAACTAAGCCCACTGTGTTAATGATACTTTACAGAGCAAGTGATTCACAAAATCCCCACTGATTCAATGGGCCTACTCTTGTTGTGATTTATTATTACTAGATTTCAGCCACTGATTGTGTTTGTTTGGTTTAAACAGAGCTGCAGCCCAGCACCTCTAGAGCTATAGGGCTAGATCTTCTCATATAGTTTTATATCTGTTTAATGCTGCACTGCTAATAGCTCATGTGGCTGTTCTGCAGTCCTAGATCTATCTGCTCAGAAGTAAGTTCCATTGTGTAGCAGGGGAAAATGTTACTTCTGAAACTCCGTTTGCTGGCCACAGCTCAAGTTGTTGGGTAGGAAACGTATTTTATAATTTCAAACCTTTTTCCTTCTTATTTTGCCAATTTTTATTATTATTTTTCTCCCCAGAGTTCCCCGTCAGCAGAAAAACAACCAGGGAGGTAGCTCATGGTCAGCACTGTCCACTGGCATCTCCATAATTTTAGGCAATTTTCAGGCAAGGAATGAGGGGGAAATAGAGCTGGGACACAGAAAGTCTCTCCTAAATCTGCTCCATGGTGCTCCCCCTTTTGCCTTAACAAGTAATGGAGTAGCCACACCTCTGGGCTTTTCTGCATTGGATCTCCCTTCCTACACTTGAAGAGGAGATCTGTTGTATTCAATGGCTCTTGGGTTGCCCTTCCAGGAAATACAATTAGTTGTCTTGAGTTCTGGCACTGCACATGCACCAGAATGTCTGTGGAACCATACATTTAAGTCCCTGGTGGGCTCCAATACACCATACCACCCAGAACACACTGAACTTTGCTGATTTTAGAAACTAAACAAGATCAAGTTCAGTTAGTACTTTGATGGCAACAAATCAAGGAACACTGGTGATCTCCAGGTAGGAGTAGGAAAGCTGCTGCCAGTCAGAGCTGACAGTACAGGACTAGACAGATCCGCTATCTGACTCACTACAGTGGTGCCTCAAATTACATACGTCCCTACTTACAACCATTTGCTTCAACTTGCGACCGGAGCTTTGACTTGTGACCAGGAAAGGCAGGGGAAAAAGGCGGGAAGTTCAAACCGTCGGTGGCGAAGATGCTGCTTCTTTGTAGCTCTTTCGCCTCAACGATTAGGGAAAGGGATGCAGGGGCAGGGGGAGGCAGGGGGGCATTACCGCATCTGGTAATGGTGAGATCCTGGTCCTCAGCCTCGGCACAGGGGTGGAGGGTCCCCCGATTCCGGCTCCCAGAGGAAGGGTCCTCCTATGCCGCCGTCTCCTCCTTCCTGGTGGGGCCGCACGCAGTGCTTGGCCCCACGGGGGTGACTTGCCTCCCGACGGGTCTCTACGACAGCGGTGGCAGCCCAGCGCCAGGAGGCTGAGCCTGGCTGGGATGCTCCAGCTGCACGCTCCAGCCTTGCCCTCCGCCATGGCCGACCCCGCCAGGAGTGAGTGCGATCAGAGGAGGGTTTGGACTGGTACGGTAAGCTTGTGGTGTTTTATTTATTTATTTTTAAAATGCTGGAACGGATTAATCATGTTCCCATGCATTTCAATGGGAAATGGTGCTTCGACTTATGACCATTTTGACTTATGTCCCTCTTGTGGAACAGATTATGGTTGTAAGTCGAGGCACCTATTGCCAAAATCCTGTTGCTTTGCATAGTGAATTGCATTAGAGTAAGCCCACTAAATCAGTTGGGTTTGGGTGAATCAACTCCTACATAAACTCTATTCATTTGAATGGGCCTATTCAGTTGCAGTTAAAGTAGGCTCATTGGAGTCAACAAACCAAATTCCTGTTGATTTAATGGGTCTACTCTAGTGCAATGTGCTACATTAAGCAACAGGATAATGGCCAATAAGTCTGACTCAGTATAAGGCAGATTTCCATGCATGTCTTTTCATAAAATTAAGCTTTTTCATTATATAAAAATCTAATTATGTTTTTAATTTAGACAGTGAGAGAAAATATTTTCAGCACTTTAAAGATATGCCCAAATTTGAATGGCAGTACGTAATTCTATGCCATTTATTTTCTAAACAGTTTAGACTGCTGAGGCCAGTCCACAGGGATTTTATACCTGATCTTGAGAATAAAAGGGGAAATATTTATTTATTCATTTATTGCAAAGCATATAAGTACATTTTAGCAGAACGCAAGGCTGGCTGTCAATTCACTGAGCCCAGGCAATCTACAGTACTTTTATTATTTCACAATGTCCAACTTCTATATATATTGGAGGAATACAAATAAAAACGCATGTCTGGTAAAAGGATTTGTATGGGGATTTAAATATTCCTGGAGATCTTTCTGTTACTATTTTGTTTTATGTTCATCAGTTAAATTAACTGATAATATCCAAACTAGGACAAAATCTATACTTTCTATAATAAACCATAGCATTTTGTCTCAGAGTTTTGGCAGTATCTGTAAAGAATTCAATTCACAGCTGCTCTACATTTTTAACAGAGAAAACATCAATCAAAGCTTTACTTATAAGCTTTTCTAATGTTGTTTAGTATTCCAGTTCAACAAAGATCAATAGAGGCCATTCCCGTCTCTTGACGCCTCTCCAGGAAGCAGAGGTGCGATTATGTAAATAGCACTGGTTCCTCTATATTCCTGCCAGCTTGCTTATCTCCAAAGCCTTCTGCCTGCTGCTACTGGCGACCAATACAAGTACATGCATATACCTCTTATCTCGTAACAAAGCTTGGAAAGCTCAAGGACTGAAATCAGTAATGTTCAACAGTGATGCACATCTGATTTTATTTATAAAGTGATTCATTTCAGTAAATTTAATTTCTGCTATATTTCTTAGTTCAGATACAATGATAGTCAACCGGAATAAGAGAAAGAAAAACAGATGCACTCAAACATTTACCAGGGTTTGAGATAATCCATCAGTTCAACAATCTACCACAGAATCGTAATATAATTAGGAAGAATCAGTTTCACAAAATGGGTCTAAGCAGAGAATAAAGGAATTTGCATTAAGAACTCCGTCTGGATTGCCTCATGTCCCTTTTGTGAGAAAAGTAATGAGTCATAAAATGGACCCTAAAACAAAAGGTATTTTCAAAAACACCTATATAAATACAATTAAAACAATGATAAACTCTTGAAACATATAGAACACACAAATACTGATATAATAGTTCCTTGACAAAACATGGTCTTTACTCCCCCCCCCCATTAATCCTTGCTTCTAGTACTACAGAAACATAATCCCCATTTAGCATTAGAAGCAGTGGCTTCAACTGTGAGGAACCATTTCTCGATAAGTATGCACTGAGTCACGAACAGCTTTTGCACAACATATTCTCATCTCAGCAAGAAGCCTACACTCCTGAATGAATCAGAACACATTAGTGAGAGAAAGTTCATTAACCTTGCTAGATTCAGGGGTTAACAGGATAGCTGAAGAAAGGAACTGAGTGAACAGCTCTTATGCAAAACAAATTAAAATGAATGTCATCACTTCTTTTGATATTCATTAGCTAATTCAGAGGGAGAATGCTCTTCTTAAATTTGCAACCATTTATCAGTGGAAAACAGGTGTACATCTGCCGCTCAAGTGCTTCTTAGTGGTTAAAATAATAATAATAATAATAATAATAATAATAATAATAATAATAATAATAATAATAATAATAATAATAATAATAATACTGGGAGAGGGAGAGAAGACCTGAGTAGCAAAATCCTCAAACGTCATCACTTCTTTGTGATTCTGGATTATTGCTTCAAGATACAGAGCTCTTTCCTCATAACTGTAAGAAGCAGGTTAAGGAAGTTCATAGTATTACATAGTCCCAATCATACACACGTATTTAACCCACAGAATTTTTGAAGAAAATCATGCCGCAGTTGCCACAGTGTTTTCTCAGAGCTGCAGGATTAAAAAAAATACAATAATTAATATATTTCTGATAGCTAAATGTAGAACTTAGCATGAACAAGGTATTCTCCAACTGCAATACTAAGCTAAAAAGGCTGGTTTCCAAACCAAATTTAAGAAACCTCAAACTAACTAACCATGAGATAAAGAGTTATAGCCAATATACGCAAAACACTAAAGAGAAGTGCCACAGATTTTTCCATATAAATAAATCCTTTTGAAGTAATATGGGCTATGGAGGGGGGAAAGAAATGAGAAAAATACTTGTTTCATTTAAAAGTAAGCTATATATATTGATCAGGATTTTTAAATATGCTGAAGTCACAAAGTTCAAGTTTTGGAAGATTCTCTTGATATATCAGAAATGCTTACTTCTTGACATCCTTGTTTTTTTAAAAAAATTTGAACACATGTACATTCCAGTCTTAATTATGCTGACAACAAAAGCATCTAAAACCAACACTATCGCCTTTTAATTAAAACCCAGCAACCTGGAACACACACCATTCAAATGCATAATCAAAAACCAGTCACCAATAAAACTTACAAGCGTAACAAGCCGAAGCAACTTTCCAGCTGTCTTAATAGGACCCCTGCTTGCGATAGCTTTTCATAGGGGAGGGAGCAAATCTCTCTCTTTGTGTGCAGCTTCTGTTTTCTTTGAAGGTGAATCATGCACTTCAAATAAGAGCATCACATTCTGAACAAATCTACAACAGATTAAATTTTCTCACATATGAATTTATGAATTAAACACTCCAATAGCCACTATGACAATATTTCCTGAAATTATTTAAAAATAGGATTTCAGATTTCCTCATACTAATGTGCGAAAATAGTTCAGTTTATGTAACAGTATATGAACAAAAAAGTGTCCGATCTTAGTAATAAATTCAAATGAATCTAAGGTTTGATAGGGTGATAATAAATAATTCAAAAGCTATCTCAATGATGGCAAATCAGGACTTTTTCAGTTTAAAATGTCCAAGTCAAATGTTTATTGTAGAAGAATCCCAAAACGAGCACATCTGTTCATATACTTTTTCTCTATAATCACTGTGAAATAATAATATGAACATGGCATTTCACACAATTTTCTTTTTTTGTTTTGCAACACAATCCCTCCAAATTCCTGTTTGGGGGGATTGTGCACGTACTGGCCCGAGTTTATCTGGGGCTGCTTTACTGTTATAGGCTGAACTCCTGATGACTCTTGTTAATGAATAGCCTGCCAAACTTCCTAGGAGAGGAGGCACACGGCTAGAATCTATTCTAAAGGGACTGACTGATGCCATTCACATCTCATTATGAACATGCTTATTCCGCATAGCACTTGGCTGTTGCCAGGATTCTCTATTCCACACTGACACAGCAAGCCGCTGGTCCTAAACAGCAGGATGTTGGGCCTGAGTGGCCGTCTGGTGCACAGACTTTCTGACACTAAGCTGGCACGTGCTGGCGCAGCAGGAGAAGACCAAGGCGTGACAAATTACTGGAAGAGCTAAGCTAAACTTGCAGCTGAAAGCCACCTGAGCCTGTGGACCTCTGTGGGCTTCCTATCCACTCTCGATTCCTCTCTGGCTCTTTTGCTCTGCAGTCTGTTTGTAAGCTCCATTCAAATGAGGCAGATAAACAAGAATTTCTTTTTATGCTATGCCCCAAAGCATCCAAGGTATATGCAGAGAATGTAATAAATTGAGAAAATATACCATGTACATTTTACTCAGATAGGAAGTCTGGCAAATTCGTTCAAACTGCATTCAATTAAATGAATAATAATGATCTTACTTCAGAAGACAAACTCTCCAAACAATAATGATGAGGAGCAATATTCCTTCCCATCAAAGTTTGGAAATCAACAAATACACATCTGATGAGTATCCAAATATATTTCTCAATGTCTAAAAACATAAAGTAGGAGAAATTCTGAATTAAAAAAGCAGTATTAATCCAATCTTTTGCATACATGCACAAGCCAGAGGCTTGGGCCTTGATGCCACAAAAACAAAGCCAAAGAGTTCAAATCTATTATTATT